AATATCAATAACTGTGATTATTATTCTACCTCCTAATAAGCACTTGTGTTCAGGAGTGTAATTGAGCCAAACAGATGTCCAAGAGTTGGAGGCCAACCTGATCTATATAAGTTCCAGGCCAGTTAGGGCTAAACATTGAGAGGAAAGGAAGGAAGGAAGGAAGGAAAGAAGGAAGGAAAAAAGGAACTTACTCATTACAAAAGAAAAAAATTGCTATTAGCCAAGCGTGGTGGTTAATACCTGTAATCCCAACACTTTGCGAGCTGACATAGGCAGGAGTGTATCAAAGTGCTGTGATTAAAGGCTTGTACCACCATGCTGTGGAATATTATTTTAAGATGTGTTATATTTGTGTATGCTGTGGAACATTTGTTTAATAATGCAAAGATGTGTTACATTCCTTTATGTTGCATTTGGTTAACTCTGTGAAACTGTGTTACTTTGTCTGCCTAAAACACCTAATTGGTCGAATAAAGAGGTGAACAGCTAATAGCAAGGCAGGGGAAAGAATGGGTGGGGCTGGCAAACCAGAGAATAAATGGGAAAAATCTGGGAGGGGAGAGCAAGGATCAAAAAAAGAAGGGGCCAGCCACCTAGCCACACAGCTAATCAGGGAGTAAGAATGAAAGTAAGATACAGAAGTAAGAGAAAGGCAAAAACCCAGAGGCAAAAGGTAGATGAGATAATTTAAGTTAAAAGTTGGCTAACAACGAGACCAGATAATGTCGGGCATTTATAAGAAATGAGCATCCATGTCATGATTTGGGACTTGGGTAGTGAGCCCCCCAAAGAGTAAACAATGATTTGGGACCTGGGTGATGAGCCCCCAAAGAGTAAAGAGTAATAAAAAAAAGCCAACAATACCACCATGCCATGATGAGTTCCCTAAGGTTTTTATCCCCTATATTAGGACTGAACTGAATCCAGGATACCCACCCCTACCAACAGAGGGTGTAGAGTAGGGATGGCTTCACATTCACTGGGAAGCATAGAATCTAGATTTAAAGGGACCCTGTCCTCTTCTCCATCACAGACAAACACTGGGTATGACAAACATGAGGATGCAAGGACATGTGGTCTCCTTCAGTGCAAGTAGTTCAGAGGAAGCCAGCAAGCCATGTAATCTCAGGGGCCCGCAAATGAGTTCAGCCACCATTTCTGGAGTTAATCTGCTATGTGTGACTATGGGAATCTGCATAGGGGAACTACCTTTGGGACATTAAGCAAGCACCCTTCCCTTGGAGGTTTCTTACGTGGTGAGCTTAGGTTGGTCCCATTTACAGCCGTTAGAGTTGGAAGTAAAACCTGTTTGATTAGTTCCAATACCATCATAATATGGGGTCTACTGTCTCCTGGACCTTTATCTTCTAGGTTACTGTAAGAAATCCTGGGGAAATTGGAGTTTGGAGGACTTACTACCCTAGAATGCTTGTATTCCAGGAGTAACAAGATGGGTTGATTTGGGCCAATGGGCTGAATCACTCTGGCACAGTTTCTTTTGGAATTTGCTTCCTGGGTCTGGACCATTCAGATACATATATAACCTGACTCCCAAGGTCCAAGGTTCTACTAGATTCTTCCTGCTAGGCTGCTGTGGGCTATTTGTACACTACATGAAGATGATATATTGCTGTGATTGGTGTAATAAAGGTCGAAAAGGCCGATAGCTAGGGAGGGAGGATAGGTAGGAGCTTCTGGGGACAGAGAGGAAGAGGGGGAGGGAACTAGGTGTGAGGGGATTATTACACCATCAGATTTTGCCAGAGACTCTGAAGAAGTCAGACATATGGTACAAAACAGAGGTAACTGAGCCACATGGGAAAATGTTGATTAAAAGAGACAGGTTAGGCTGGGCGTTGGTGGCGCACACCTTTAACCCCAGCACTCGGGAGGCAGAGGCAGGAGAATCTCTCTCTGTGAATTCAAGGCCAGCCTGATCTACAGAGCTAGTTCCAGGACAGCCTCCAAAGCCACAGAGAAACCCTGTCTCGAAAGAATAAAACAAAACAAAACAAACAAAAAACCAAAAGGAGAAGGGCTGGGGAGATGGCTCAGTAGTTAAGAGCACTGGCTGCTCTTCCGGAGGACCTGGGTTAAATTCCCAGCGCCCACACAGCAGCTCCTGACTACTGTGACTGTAGTCTCAGTGTATCCAGTGCCTTTTCTGGCCTCCTCTGGAACCAAGCACCCACATGGCACACAGACATACATGCAGGCAAAATACCAATTCATATTAAATGAATACATAATTTAAAAGACAAAAAATTATTTGACTGCTATATTTTGTCACTATATCAGAAGCTGTTATTGAGTGATTTCATCAGTAAGCCTCCAGCCTTCCTTCCATACATACATAACTCTTAACAGTGAAAGTTTTTCTTAATTAACTGTGACACCAGCATACTCAGCTGGGAATGTATGCACTTCCTAATTAAAGATGATAGTTACTCTCTCTCCCTCTCTGTGTCTCTTGCTCTCTTACTCTGCCTTTCCAAAACAGGGTTTCTCTGTATAACAGCCCTGACTGTCCTGTAACTTTCTCTGTAGACCAGACTGATCTTGAACTCACAGAGACCTACCTGCCTCTGCCTCCTGAGCTCTGGGATTAAAGGCATGCATCAGCACTGTCCAGCTCGAACAATGATATTTTTTAACGAGAACTACTAAACAAAACAAAACCAAAGAACTGAGCAAGTAACTCATTCTTGCGACAGAGCCTCACTGGCGCCCCCTGCCGGCCAGGAACCCTCTTCAGCCTAAATTGGTCTGGAACTCACCGAGATCCTACTGCCTCTGCTTGCAGAGTGCTGAGATTCAAGCAAGGCTCATACCACTACATTTAGCTTCAGGGTTGCATTTCAAGTTTTTCCTAGGTTCCCTATATCCATTTACTGAGATCTTGGGTAATAACAGCTGTGTTCTAAAGCTAAAAAAAATTCAGCTCAGCGTAGCCACTGCCCTAAAACATTGTGCATATTGAGATTAAGTTCATGGCCTTTTTGGAAATATAGACAGCTCAGTGGAAGAATGTGTGCCTATAATTTCCAGGACTCTGGATTCAACTCCAACACCTCAAAAAGTTATCAGAATAGTAAAAATGAGGTTTATACTGTATAGCAATTTGTAACAAACTTTTCTACATCTACATAATTTCAAAAATAAATTGGGCAAGGGATAAAAGAATAAATGCAGGGGCCCGTGAGATGGCTCAGTGGGTAAAGGTGCTTGCTGCCAAGGTTTACAACCTGAGTTTGAGCCCTGGAACTCACATTCCAGGGAGGAATTCAGGAGTACAGAAACAACTCCTGGAAGCACATGTGTGCCATGGCCTGCAAACACTTTATAAGAGCTTAAAGACTGTAAATAATAAACACATTTCAAAGCTGGGTATGGTGGCATGTGTACTCAGAAGGTTGAGGCAGGAAGATTACCACAAATTCAAAGCCATGGTAAACTATGTGGAAGGTAGCAGACCAGCCAAGCTTATTTTATGAGATGTACTCAAACATCAAAACAGCCAGGTGTGGTGGCGCACGTCTTTAATCTCAGCAGCCAGGAGGCAGAGGCAGGAGGATCTCTATCGCGGTAAATAAGGATCAGGATAAACAAATAGGCCGAATAGATGTTTATTCAGGGAGAAATAACTTACAACCTAGACAGATGAACACCAGGAAATTCAACCCGATCCTCTCCTGTCCGAGTCACGCCAGAAAGAGAGCGCCTTCCTCGCCGCCTCTGACCTCCTTCCACAGGTCACTTCCGCCCATGGCTCCACCCCCAATGGGCGTGGTCAGTGCTACAGAAGGACTATCTCACTACAGATCTCAGTGAGTTTCAAGCCCACTGGGTCTACAGAGGGAATTCTAGGCCAGCAAGGGCTACACAGTGACAGCCTGTCTCGAAAACAAACTGAAAGTATATATATTACTTTGAAAAATAGTCATATACTTGATCTTAGTCAAAAGACTGAGAAGTGATGAAATTAAACAGGATCATGAAAACTGAAAATACATGCTTTTAGTGCCTTTAATGTTATTACAGTGGATAAAGAGTTGCACACGCTTGGAGGGAGCCATTGGTAGAAACTGTTAATAACTAATAAAAACAATAACTTATATAGGCTGCAGCTTAGACTCTCTATCTCCTCCAGCTCATGCTGACCCTTAATTCTCAGTTTCCCTAGACACAGTTGAACTCTGAACAGGCTCATCCTTAGTAACAAAAGGTAGGTGAAGGGCATAACTGCAGCCTCAACTCCTGCCCCACAAAGAAAGCTTATTCTCAGAATATATGTGGAAGGCACCCACAGGTGCAGAGCACTTTTGAAAAAGTATAACTTGTATTGGCAAACCCTAAACAGGATGAACCTGGCCTGCTACTTGCCATGGAAGGAAGATGAGCTGTGGACAGTTTACATTTTAAATTTATTTTTATCTTAGGTGTATGAGTGTTTTGCCTACATGTATATATACATATGTGAGTACCCACTGCTGGCAGAGATCAAAAGTAGACATTGGATCCCCGGGGAAATGGAGTTACAGATGGTTGTAAGCTGCTATATGAGTGCTGGGAATAGAACTCTGATGCTCTGGAAAAGTAGCCAGTGCTCTTAACTACAGAACCATCTCTCTCCCTAGCCCCCTGTTGTTACTTTTGCTTTTGTTTTATTTTATTTTAGAGACAGAGTCTCAGTATATAATTTGGGTAGACTTGGAATGTTCTATGTAGTTCAAGCTGCCCTGGAAACTCAGAGATCTGCCTGTCTCTCCTTCCAGAGTTCTGGGATTAGAACTGTAGACCACCATGCAGGCCCTTAAATAGCTATCTATAAGTACCTATGTAATGTATGCTATTTTACCGCCTCAAGCACATAAAGCTTAAATCATTTACATTTGACCCCCAAGGAATGATTGCTACTCCTTCCTAGACCTCAGGAGACATAGTGACCAGGGAGTTAGGGACCAAACAAACTCTCAGTCTCCAGGCCAGTTACATGGCTTCTGCGCTGACTTGGCTGTGCTGCTGGTGCCAGGTGGCAGCAGCCCCACACTTCTCTTGGGAGTGGGTTGGGCTCTCCAGATGTGGCTGGAATGCACCAGAGTTGTTTCTAGACGCTCTAGAGAGCATCTGAAGCTTGGGCGTTACCTTGACGTCGTGGGCAACCACACCGCTCACGAAGGCAGAAATGCCAAACCAGGGCGGCACAGCTCAGCAGAACCAGAACTGTGCCCACTCCCACGGCTGCGTAGACCAGGGTGAGCGGTCTAGGCGGCATGATAAGCTTTCGACAAGGCCCAAAGGAAGGGTCAGCCCAGTTCTCAGGACCTTCAACATCTGCTCCAGGAACATGGCTTTCACCAGCCTCATTAGCAGCCACCACACAAAGGACGTAAGAACCCCCAGGCTTCAGTCCCTTCAGCTCTGCTCTTCGAACTGTTGCATTGAGGGGGCCACTCTTTTGTGGAGCCCCGTTGCTTTCCCAAAGCAGAAGCCAATAGTGACTGACTGGAGAGAAGGGAGCACACCAGTGGGCAACCGCGCAACCTTCCTCAGCCACAATTTGGACTTCTCCCAGCCGCGGAGGGTCTGGGTGCTGATCTTCCCGGGAGAGCCCTGGGCACAAACAGGCCACTGGCCCAACCTTCTGCAGTTCCTTACAGGGCACCTGCAGGTGGCGGCAACGGTCATAGTCGCAAGGCACAGCCACTGAAGGTGTGGTTACCTCTTCATCGTCCTCTTCCTCATAGTCTTGGGGGGTCAAGATCTGAGCCTTAGAAACCAAGGAGGTGGTCATAGCCACAAGCCACAGAAGGTAAAGAGAGCCCAACATGGAATCTGGAAGGGAAGGAGTGATTGGGTAAATGCTGTCAGCCCTGCCGTCCAGAACAAGACCTCTGGGACTAAGACATAGGACTAAGATGGGAAAGGAAAGAGGTAGGACTGAGACATGCAGTTACTTGTCAGTTGGCTTCTGAATTCAGGGTTTGTTTTGGGGGGGGATGGGGGAGGCTGGTCTGAAGCTGTCTTCCAACTCCTGGTCCTCCTGTCTATACCCTCAAATCACTAGGATTAATAGTGTGTGTCAATAGGCCTGGTTGTGCTTGGTTTGGGATAAAAATAATGAAATCCAGTCCCACAGATGAGAGACAGATGTTTGGGCAGGTCCACGCAAAGTGCTAGAAGCAAGCAGCTGATGGACAGGCAAAAATGCTGAGGAGGAAACGGATTTATTCAACTCAAGGAAGAAAGGTGCAATGAATCAGTTGCTGCCCAGAGAAGTGACTTCCGTAAAACAACGCTCAGTAAGATGCACAAAAATCCAAACCAAAACAAGACAGGAGAGAGAAGAGAGGGGATGGGGGTAGCATGGGAGTCCTCACTTCCTACCTGCATTTGTGCAAATGCTGTCCAGTCAATCCAGGCTCCTCCCTGTCCACCCTCCTCCCGGGACCCACAGCAGCCTCTCACCAGTGAGTAGGCCTTGACACTGAGAATCTGCCTCCAGACATCTGTGGATATCGGGCGGAAAGGTTCCTGTCACAGGCCACTTTCAGGTTGTGTCTTCAATTCTATTTTGACTGAGAACTTTTATACCCCTCAACTCTGATGTCACCACCTAGCCCCTGAGTGCCAAGAAGAGGGTTGGTTCCCTCATAGGGACTGAGTCATGGGGCCAGGGATAGGGGAAGCCACATGCAGTGTTTTCAGCTGGAAGCCAGGATGCCTGGGTTCAGACAGGAATGAAGCGTGGAAAGCAGCCAGGAACTGAGACTCCACAGGCTGCAGTCATGTGAAGGAATGGGGAGAGAATTGCCAGAGGAGGGAGGGCACCTGGCTGATACCGGACAGAAGCACATCTGTGGATGGTATGGGGCCTGAATTACAAAATGCTGTTTTAGTGAAAATCCTACCACAGCCATGGCAGTCATTTCCTGTCTTCTGCCTCCCAATGGACAGAGAAGGGAGGGGTGTAAAGGCCAGAATGATGTATCTCCAGACCCGCCCCACACTATCCCCCTCCCTTGGGGAAGAAAAGGATCACATGGATAGAGCAGGAAGCCTATTACAGGCCAGGATAGGGTTTCTTCCCTAGATTATGGATGGAAACAGCTGCACTGAGTGTGGTGGTTCAAGCCTGGATTTCTCAGCACTCGGGACTCTGAGGCAGAATCATTAGAAAATAGTCTGTGCTACATAGTGAGACTCTGTCTCAGAAAACAAACCAAAGCCATAAAACATCTGAATAGTAATTCAGTACTTGGAATGCTGCGGCAGGAGAATTGCTAAAAGTTTGAGGCCAGCCTCTAAGAATCTGTTTCAAAAGATATGCAAAGGAAAGAAATCAGGCCAGGTGTGGTGCATGTCTTTAATTCCAGTACTGGGGAGACAGAGGCAGGCAGGTCTCTGTGGGTTCAAGGCTAGCCTGGTCTATAGAGTTAGTTCCAGGACAGCCAAGGTTACACAGAGAAACCCTGTTTCAAAAAACAAAACAAATGTGGCTCTGTGCCACAAGCTGAAACAACATTTCTGTCTCAGTAGCTGGGATGTGGATGCCCATCAATTCTTCACTTAGTACAAAGAAAAGTTTTGAGTATAATTGGGGACATTAGATCATAAACTAAATATATCTCCTTGGAGTGTGTAATGCTCTTAGACTATCCATGAAAGAAAACAATACAGGGGCTAGAGAGATGGCTCAGTGGCTAAGAGTACTGGCTGCTTTTCCAGGAAGACCTAGGTCCAAATCCTACCACTCACATGGTGTCTGTGCTAGCTGGTGTTATGGCAACTTGACACACACGCTAATTATCTGAAAGGAGGGAATCTCAATTGAGAAAAATCCTCCATAAGATCCAGCTGTAAGGCATTTTCTTAATTAGCGATTGATGGGGGAGGGCCTAGTCAATTGTGAGTAGGGTCATCACCAGGCTAGGGGTCCTGGGTTCTGTAAGAAAGCAGGCTGAACAAGCCACGTGGAGCCAGCCAGTTAACAGCACCCTCCACAGTCGGCATCAGCTCCTGCTGTTTGTGTTCCTTTGATCAGGCCAAATAAACCTTTTCCTCCCCAGCTTGCTTTTTGGTCATGGTGCTCATCACAGCAATAGTAACCCTGAATCCTGGTTCACAGCCATGTGACTTCAGCTCCAGGGAGATTCAATATCTTCTTCTGGCCTCCAAGGGTACCTGAACCCATATGCACATACCCATCCATGCACAGAATTAAATAAAATATCTAAAAAAGGGAACATACTGAGTGTTGTAATCCAGGCCCTGCCCCTTGGGAGTCTGACACAGTGTGCCACCCCTCTGTGCCTGGCAGGTGCACATACCCTGGCCCTTTAAGAGGGAAACTCCATCACTTCTGCTCTCTTTCCTGCTGTTCTGCAGAAGGGCAGACTGGACTTTTCCTGTCTCCCTCTCTTTCTCTTCTCTCTCTCCTCTCCCTCCCCTACCCCCCAGTAAAACTTCCCTGAGGGCTGAAGAGAAGTCTTGCAGTGCTTGCTGCTTTTAGAGATGGCAGTTCAGTTCCTAGCACTCATAGGAGGCCCACGGACACCTCTAACTCCAGCCCCAGGGGATCTCACACCCTTTTCGGGACTCTGAGAGAATTAGCAACATACATGTCCATACATACAGAGAAGACACACATACACACAGAAAGAATAAGGCTGGACAGTGGCGGTACATGCCCTTAATCAGGGCACTCAGGAGGCAGAGACAGGCAGATCCTTTTGTGAGTTTGAGGCCAACCTGGTCTACAGAGGGAATTCGGGAACAGCCAGGGCTACACAGAGAGATCCCGTTTTAAAAACCAAAAACAAATAATAAGAAATGGACGCCCAGGGCTGGAATGATGGATTAGTGGTTAAGAGAGCAACCTGATCTTGCAGAAGACCTGGATTTAGCTCCCAGAATCAACATGGTAGCTCACAACAGTCTGTAACTCCAGTTACAGGGAATCTGACATCCTTTCTGACTTCATGGGCCCCTGCACACATGTGGTGGACATACGGTTTATGTAGGTTCATTCACATACATACACACAAACCAAAACAAAATCTTGGATGACCCAAGTTTGATTCCCCAGAGCCCATATGGAAGGAGAGAACTGACCTCTGACCTTCACAAAAGCACCTGGGGCAAAATAGTTTATTAAAGGGAACAACAAGGGGAAAAGGGTCAGATGGGAAAGTGCTGCAGTGTGAGGAATCTTTTTGTTCAGGAACTGGAGCATGTGGGACGCTGCCTGACGGTGCCCAGAGAAGGCTCACGGCTACCCAGAGTCTCGGGGGCAAGGGCAGAAGTAGAGGCAGAAGCAGGCAGGTTGGCCTCTGTTAGCAAAGCTGCATCATCCCAGGAGCCTGAACCTGAGCCAGGAAAGGGCCAAACAAAATTGCAAATGAGACAGGTTAACAGGGATGGGCTGGCACCCCACCACACCTTGCTCCATTTTAAGGTGCCCCTCACCATCACTAGCCTCCCGCTCGTGCTCCTCCTCTCCATTCAGGGGCTGCCGCTGCCTCTGCCGAGGTGGCTTCTCTTCCTCGGACTGCTGGCCCTCTTCAGCTGAAAGGGGAACAGAGGTGAGCCAGAGTGAGAGGTAGGCACTGAAGGACTGAAGGAAGTGCTGTGGAGGATGGAGGAAGAGGGACTGCACGGTACCTGTCCCTGAGGGATCTTCAGGGCTTTCACCATCTTCTGTCATGTCTGGCTGCTTCATAGACTCCCGGCCTTCAGGTCCGGCAAACAGAGGACAGCTAGGCTCAGCGGCTATGCTTGGCTGGCAGTATCAACTACACCTCCTTCAGCCTTTCCTTACACTCTCACTTTCAGAGTAGTGTATACTCTAGACTGGAGGCAGCCAGTCCCTCTAACCCAGCCAAACTACCTCTCAAAAATATTGTCAAGCAATCCCTTTACCTGGCTGATGGCGAGAGATCCGGCACTGGGCACCCTGCCTCGAGCTATCCCTCTGTCGGATATTAACCTGTGGAGGAGTAACCACCGCAGTGAAGCCGGCCTTCCCTGGGCAGTAACCATGCCCTACTGCTAACATTCCCCTGATCACCAGCAAGAACCACCAAGGAAGAAAAGCGGGGTCTCTGCCCCTGAGACCTGCAGAGAGAAGCGGTGTTGGGGCCAGATGCCCCCCCACACCCACTGCAAGTAGCTGAAGAGTACGATGACGCTGAGGAATGTGAAGTTGCTGGCGACACCCACAAAGGCGCAGGTCATTGGGAAGTTGTACAGCAGGTACCTGAGGTGGAAAACAGGGTCAGGGAGGGAGTAGCAGTTCCTAGAGAGGCCTAGCCTCTATCGCTGCAGAAATAATTGTGAGTGTGGCTGGAGCTGCCCTCTGCTACTGTGGCACCTACTGCCCAGTCCGGTTACCAGATCACACCGCACCAGGTTCTAATCAAGGCCAAGGACTTTAGGTAGCCTCAGTATCACAAGGCCACAGCATTATAGTGGCTTCAACTGTGACGCGGCTCTTTCACTCTTGCTGAGCCTGTTTTTTTTTTTTTTTTTTTTTTTTTTTTTATTAGGGCAGGGTGAGTGGGTGGGTGGTGATGTTTGTGGATCTCACTATGCTGCCTGAGTAGCAGGGACTAGACACAGAGCACTGCATCTGGCTCATAGGATCCTTTTATTTTCTTTTCATTATTTATGTTGGGAGTCTTGCTTTGTAGTGCAAGAGTTCTTGCCTTCTGTCTCCCGGTGCTGTAATGACTGGGTGTGTCATTTCATAGGGGATTTAAAAATGGGGCTGGAGAGCTGGCTCAGTGGTTGAGAGGACTTGCTCTTCTTGGAAAGAATCCAGGTTCAATTCCTAG